TCCCTATTCACATTCATCTACTCATGCATGTTAAAGCATAATTCAGCATGAATGTTCCTGCTGAGGTCTGAGCACCAAAGACTATACTTTCTTATCAATAAATTCTTCTAATTATCTTTTCTCTCTGTGTGAGTTTTTCAGATTGAAATAACAGCAGGACTCTATGGGACGTAATATCGCTCTACTCAATGCATTATTTGCTGACAAGCAAAGAGCACTTGTGAGACTTCAGCGGCTGTCCCTAATTCAAATCGAGTCATTCAAAGATCTGGACAATTCTGTCTTGTAAATAAGAAGAAAATGTAAAGAAACATACCAAACATTGCGGGCAAAGAACTGAGGAAATAAGTATTAGGAAGTAAATATTAGCCAGGTGGTAAGCATTAACTATGACCAGCTAATTTTTCTGATGTCAAAACAGGACGTTATGTGGAGCTTTTCTCATTATGGAATATTTTTATTACAAATATGTTGGATCACATTTCATCTGTGTACCCTTATGGATGAATGGAGTATAAACAATTGAAAATTGGATTTAACGCATGCTGGACGCCTTCAAATGTATGTTGTTTTGGCTGCTTTGTCTTGTTTACATTTTGACATAATGCTATATCTGTGTTAATTGTGCTTTGGGGCTTGCTATGTCCATAAAATAAACTTGGTGGTTGAATTGCAGAGAATCTAAGCTTTCTAACGCTGTGTAACATGTCTATATTGGTAAACATTTTACCGGCGTAATTTTCATATGTCCAGAGTTGTTAGTTGTAAGTGTTGTAAAAATGTTCACAAACGACCCAGGGGATTTTAGAAGGAATTTCATGAACTCTTGTCAAACACAAAAAAATAAACATAGAATTGAGCCAAGCCATTACAACAAAGAGGACACCTCTTTGTTACATCCTCAGAGGATGGTGTGATAAAGGCTTCCATACGTTGGCAGAGGATGAAAAAAAATTCTGGTCTGCCATCAGGCTGCACCAGAAAGGTATTCTTTAGCTGGCCAAAGAGGTGAAAGCTCTCTGCCATCAAAATACGAAGAAGGACAAGAGGATTGCCTTTCTGACCTGGAACAGTGAATGAGGATGAATGATGTTATCCTAAGGCTACAGATTAAACCCCGAACATGTGCTCACAGTGGCCACTTACAGTGGAGGAGAACCAGAATTTAGTCACCTTTTAAATCACTGAACAAAAGAAGCCACATCTTTCTTCATACCCTTGGGATTAACCTGAACTGTGAGCACATCAAAGTTTGCAACCCTCTGCTGAGAGGAAGCTCTAAGGACAGACAAATCATCATCCTGTGTTTTGTCAATAGAAAGCACATACAAGGAAGAAGGCTGAGGGGCACTAATGTATATATCAGAAAATCCAGGCAATGTGGACAGCAAACTGCAAGGTTTTCCTTTAAGCTGAACCGATCACTAGAGAACACGAAGAGTATGGTCATCAGGGATATCAAGGAGCTGGAGAAATTTACTTGAGCAGATGAAGGTATCATGGCACAATCAGCAACCAAAATTTTAAGGACATTAAAACGGGAATATTATATAATTATAACTATTAGATGAGAATGAAATAAATCAAATAACATATGGAATTTACTGTTTTTATCTATTCAAGGCTGCACTTTAAAAAAAAAAAGAAATTGTCTGGAGAGCTGTTCTTAATGAAGTTTATTTTTGTTTACATTCTTGTACACAAAAGGAGAAAATAAATCTAAGTCTAAGAATATATTGGATAATTTTATGTTAATTTATTATGATAATTTTCAGTATTTTATGAGCACCTAATAGTTACTGATGATTGGTCTGTAGTGATTCAATAACTATTTGGTAAATTAGTACACATAGAAATCATAACATTGTATTTTTCACAGCTGTGGGACAAGAAGAGGTCATAGCTGCTCTTAAATGTAAAAATAAAAGGTCAACTGACTTATGACATTGATTAAGCGAAAGTCAAAAGAGTTATTGATGCCCTATTTTCAGCCTTATGGAGTAGAATGGTAATTATGAATCAGCAATATTATTAATGTTATGGACTATTTGAATGTGTATGGTATGAAGGGGTAAATAAGTTACATTTCTTCATACTCCTTATCATGCAACAGCATTAAATTATGCATAGTATGTCACTAATTATACATTATGTCGGCGTGTGTTACATTTGTAATTTGTTTTCTGAATTGTCTGTGATAAAGTTATCTATTTATTAATTAATCTTCATTAATTCGTTCATTGTCAAAGTAAATGGTAAAGTAAAAAATTATCACATATCACAGATACAAGTTAATTAAAATTACTGCAAAAAGTTTTATTTAGAGTACCTACCCACCAATGCATCCTATGCATAAGTTAAATATAGTAATCGTGTCAAATGAACCAGTGACAACATCAAAAGCATTTTAGCCCAGTCAGTAACATTATGAGGTACCAGTGACGGTTTGCTTTGTTTTCTGAAGTTTGCAGAGACAGTAGGTTTTCAAGCATTACATGCTTTCTTTTACTCACAAGTTTTATGAAAAAGCTGATCTAATTTCATCATGATACTAGAGAATGGCTGGTCAGGACACTGGCCTGACCATAACCATTCAGGGAAACTATCAGAGATATTAAAAAAGAGGACGAGACACCAGACCCAAGGATTTAGATGACCTTATCAACCACATTGTATGAATTACCGCACAGATGCAGTAATTCATGCTAAATGAGGCAAGACTAAGGTTTGACTGTATTGATCTCAATATGCTTTTCAGAATCCTTATATTTCTGTTAAAAACATTTTTGTATGTATTTAGTGTTATATTCAAATTTCCCACAGAAACTGAGCTTTTTGTTTTTATTATCTTTAATCCATACGCAATAAATATAAACAAAATAAATGTTTGAGATATTAATTTGTTTTAGAAATTAAGATGTAATTTCTGAGTGACAAAACTTTTTTTCCCACAAAATTAATTTTTTTTTTTATCTAACTGTAATTGAAAATTCTGGTTTTCATTTCAAATGAAGCATTGTTTTTCAGAGTAAACCTGGTATTTTTAGAAAATCACTCAATCCTACAAATAAAACAGAGAACATACCTATATTGTGGAGGTGGGTTACCCTTCGCTTTGCAGTTAATAAACACCAACTTGTCGCCAGAGCTCATAGGGAAAATACTGTCACTGGGCTCCTGGGTGAAGACAGGACCGTGCCGGGCGTTCTCTGTGTCAGACATAAATAAATAGAAATAAATAAAACATTAGCTGTTCTATGAAATGGAACAAGTGACAACGTATTAATGCAAAGAGGAATCACTCTGCATCTGGAAACGATATGTTAATTCAACACCTATTATAATTAGCTGCCAAGATGGCTCTCTGAGTACATTATGCTTTTAATAAACCATCATGCCAGGATGCAGATGTCATATTGCGATGAGAGAGCAATTAACAAAAGATAACCTTGTATCACATCGATGTCTGGGCCTATTCTACAAAGTCTGCAGCACAGCAAAGTTTATTTAGCTCCATTCGTGATCAACATGCTAATAGTAATAAAATGTCCTAATCCGTGTATATGTTCAAACTCTACATTAATGTGGGTCAAAACGCATAGCTTTAAACAAAAGTTTAATTAACTTAAACTACATTTACTAGAAAATATGAAATTACATTAAATGACAACCTAAACTTAGTTATATATAAAAAAAGGTGCTGTCAATTGTAAGAGTTTGTATTAAAGAGCATAATAAGAACTATCGGGTCTCCAACAGTTTCAATTTACCTAAATATAAAAACAATCAACAACACAATTTTCCCCTAGTGACCATTGAGAAGCACTGTTGAACATTAGAAATCCTACACTGAACAGTGAAAACCATTATTCACATGTGAACAACATTCTCAGACAGTTGCATTTTCCCCCCCTGAAATGGAGATCAAAGCAAGTTGACCTCAAGGTCCGAGCATTACATGGTTCTCACCATGTTTTATAAATGTACTGGGTTGGGGTGCTAAAGCAAAAGCATTTTTAGTTAGTTTCTGCACCAATATTGCCTTTGCTTTTGCCTCTTTGGTAATTCATCCTTTGAACTCGATGGGTACATTGTAAGGTACCTTGTCAAGTTACTCAACAACAACAGTGATGTACAGCATAATCTTAGCAGGGGAGGTCTTTGCAAAAACAATATCAAAATATTGTACTTTAGTTTGGTGATCATTGATCAGCATCATTTAAGAGATGTTAAAAGTGTGTTGAATTTTCAGGTGAGGTTTGAAATTTTTCTTTATTTACTCTTAATTAGTAACACATATAGTAGTATTGAAATATCTCCACAAATCTCACAAATGCTTTTGTTAATATGACAACAAATGTATTCAAATAGATCTTGTGGTTTCAGAAATGCACTAATTTTTATTGGAGCATGAAATTTTGAGAAAAATGGGCTTGTGGTTCAAAAGGTTAAGCAGACTCCTAATTATTGCAACCTTTTTCCATACTGGGAGGCGATCTTTATATCTCCCCTTGTTCTGCCTTTTCTGAATTGTACTGAATCCGTGTGTTTTTTTTTTTTTTGGTATGTTTTTGGTTCTATGTTAAGCTGAAAACCTTAATACGTTGTTATTTTTGGATGGGATTTGTTCCTAAGTATTTTGTATGTCAAAGTTTTGTTTGTATGTCAAAGTTATAACCCATTTCATTAGAACTGCCTATAACTGTTAAAGTTAAACTTTGTGGTCCAACAGTTTTCTTTTACTACATTTTTTCATCTTTGCTTTTATTTTGCTTTTCTTTTTCATCTATTTTCATGTAAAGCACTCTGAATTGTCCTTATACTGAACTGTGCTATACAAATAAACTTGCCTTGCCTTAACTTGAGTGCTGTTACTGCACTTACACTTAAAAAAGTGCTGCAATCTTTTGTTGTGAGACATCATAGAGGATTCAGCCGTCTTTAATAAAACTCAATTTTATCAAGAACCTGGCTTTTGCAAAAAGCATACGAAAGCCAAAATAAATATAACAATTAAATCTTAAAAGATCTAATAATTCACAAAGGACAAAAAACCCTATTTGTAGGGCAGAACACCAATCAACAAAATCAAAAGATGTCTCTCTGGATTCCTACAATAAATCTGTGATGAACTTTTAATTTTCTTTTTTGAGTCTCTGAATGGTCCCCAGTGCACAATGTCCTGATATTAAAGCATTGTGAAATGAAATAAAGTTGAATCAACAGGGAATGCTCCAAGACTATACAATGCAATTTGACTTGGGGATGTGGAAAAGGCTGGACTGACTGCAGAAAAAAATTGGGGGGGTGAACATGAACTATTGCCCCTGAGATAGGGGCAAATGTTCATCTTCTAGCTTAAAGGTGAAACACAGAGCCAAAGACAGCTTTAGAGAAAATATATCCCTGTTGTTCTAGCTGAAGCCGAGTCTCAAACATAGGAAAATATCTGTTAAGAGACCCCAAAGAAAGCAAAGTAAACTTCAAATGTAGGTGAGAAACACCTCTGAGACTTTCCAGAGAAAATTAGAATATGTAGTAACTATGCTCAGAAAGAAGCTACACACAAACGAATCAGTCAGACTTTCTTTGTCACTGGGGAATTCAACTGAAAACCAAGGAAACTTTTTTTTTTTCCTTTTAGATTCAAAACTCTTAATACATTTTCACAGTGGCTTGCAAAGGTCTCCATGACCCTGGAACTGTACTGCAGTTTTGTCGGTATAACTTATTGAGATTTCGTATAATACCCAATCACAAATTATTGTGAAATCTTGAAGTTTTCACATTTTGTTTTTCTAATTAAAATTAGGAAACAAATCAGTATCTTGGTGACAACCTCGATGCTGCTGCTTCGATGCTGCTACCAACAATGTTTTTTTCCAGAGTTGGCTTATTGGTTGAACAGAGCTTGGTGAGATTTGTTTAATGGTTGGTTATTACTTTATATATATTTTTAAATAATCCTTTTGGTTCTTCGTGACAAAGCTCATAATAAAAGACAGCTGCAGATCACATTACAAATCCAAGTCATTATGATCAAATATTTTTTTATTAAGAATGATTTTGATTGGTCAAACAAGAGAAGGAATAAATGAATGCTGGTACTGCATATGGCATTTATCAAAAATATAAAGGGGGTTACGGTGAACACGCCTTACATCAGCCCTTACAAAATTAGATCAAATTAGAAACAGCACAGTCTCTTAACAATACCTATTAGACCCATAATAAATTCAAGTAAGTGATCCAAAGTAAGGCTTGGTTAGGCCTGACACATATATATACTGCGTGTACTGTGTATACAGTACAGACCACAAGCTTACAACACCACACAATATGGAGATGTAGAAAAACAGCTCTTTGTAATATTTTTAAAGCACCTTCATGTCATCCAAGAGGCTCAGTAAATTATTTCCAAGATTGTGTCACAACCTTTTGACTATGACACTATTTGTGGCTTAAAGTTCTCTAGAGTCTACACTTGCCAGTCGGAGCTGTCACTCTTCAACCATGTTTTTACGCAGGGGGAATGTCCTTTTAGTCACGTATTGTTTTAAGGTACACCCCATATTGACACTGCTCAAAGGGGCGTGGGTGCTAAAGCAAGGTACTTTGGTTGCACTGACCTTGCACACATGTGAAGAATAAACTAGGCTGTAGGCTGTACCTGCAGTTTGAGATATTTTCCTCAGACGAGTCGTGGTTAAGTGATGTACAGTAACCACTACCTGGCCCAGAATTCAGGGTCCAACTTTTCCTTGTCTCGGCCTTTACAGTAAGCATGAGGTTCTTTACTAGAACTGCTTTATCAAACTCCAAGAAGCTTTGTCAATGGCCAAACCATTTTGTGGAACTGTGTGATGAGTGAACTTCCCCAATACTGTGATGATAAATTTGAAAAAAATTATTATATAATGTATTTCTTGGAAAGTGGGTTTTGGGGGGGAAAAAAGTATTGCACTGAAAATATTTAAGGAATAATTACAGACGATATGTCCATTATCAGAAATCGTGCACATCGTTGAGAAATTATCTGTGACATGCTTCTGTGAAGTCCATTCATTCTGACAATGGACACCTAAAGGACATTATCCAGCTAATAGAATAGTGGCTTATGAAAGGAATTGATATTAAAGAAATTAATAATACATTAGTGTTTTGATTTTTTTTACCATAAAAATCAAAAGCTTTTCACAAGAAATAGAGTTGACTTCACAATATCTCTTCTGAAGGGTTGCCAAGGTAAGCTGCTCTGGCCACAGAACCTGTAGCTCAGTGGATCACAGCTTAACAGGTATGTTTAGCGATAATAAATATAATTTTAGAGTGAGCCAGCTCAATAATCTATAATAATCAGGCTGTTTCATCAGAATAATTGTACAGGTGTCCTATAACACTTTAAATGGACACCCTACAGTAAATCAGGATGGAGTATTTACACAGAACATAGTATCATTGGAGGTATCAAAGTAGAGACTTACTATGTCTCTACTTTGTCTTGAGTTGTCTTGAGTTACATTAAGTCCTCATTCTTTCCTAGTTCATGGTGGTATTGCACCAACCATCAGTAGACCAAAAGAAGAAGAGAGAGACCCACAAATAGATAACATGGTATCTTTCCTCTAACTTTACATAAATGCACTACTTTATGTTATTCTTGTGCAAATAACATATATTAAATTGGAATTTGTTGCTGCCAAGTGCCATAATTGGATAAAATGTGTGATTTTCTTATAAATAGATTGCAAAGGGAGACATCCATCCATCCATTTTCTGTCATGCTTATCCCTGCTGGGGTTGCAAGGGGTGCTGGTGCCTATCTCCAGCTGTTGGTGGAGAAGAGGTGGGGTACACCCTGGACAGGTCGTAAAAGGGGACACAAAAACATTTTTGAAAACACATATCTTTTAAAGGTTTAAAATATTGGCTAGAGAGATTATCATCTGTTGAATCTTTACTTTTTAATGTATCGAGGATAGGTCATATAAGAGCCTGGATATTCAGAATATAGCTTCTATAATGGTTTCAATCTAATTAGAAAAGAGACACTGTCTATGTGCATGTAATCTGTATGTGTGCTCTGTAAAGCTCATTGTTTTTGTTGCTTCTGCCAAACTATCAATACACAGGAGTAATTAACCAATGGCGCACTAATTACTCCCATGAAATCTGACTTTTTTTTTAGCAGATGCACTCTCACACGCAGCCACGCACTGGTGCACACCCTCCATTTCCTCAGACACCATGTGTCATGCGCCAAGCTGCACACCACTGCTTTACAGGAAAAGAAAATGTTAATTTTCTCTTTGTTCACTTGAGACGATGAAAGATGAGATGTTTCTCCCTTTTTTTCTTTCCTCGATACACGTCTCTAACCTTGACTAGGACAAAGAGTGTTTCCTCCCACGTCGTCATCGTTATGATCATTCTAATGAGAGTGGGAGTCTTTGCCTCAGGTAAGGGCCTTGTTTCCCTCTTCCTGTCTCTGAGGGAGTTGTTTCAGATTCTGCCCTGCTTGGAATGTCCTTTAAATTAAACAAATTAATGAACCTTTAAAAGCTGGGTTATTTCTCTGAGGGAAATGGTGGGGAGCTTTGCATATCTGCCTAAGAACAACCATGCCCAGTAAACACAACAAGCCAACTGACCACTGCTACAAGTGAGCACATATACATAACACATTACACCTAATTAGCTTTCATGGGAATGCATGCAAATGTGAGGTTGAAGGAGTTCTGTGCATTTGTGTTTAAAATGAAGGCTGTATAACACATTTAATCTGATCTTTTTTTTGGTTGAAATTATATTTTTATTGAAGAAATAATTTAGCAACACGTGTAGTCGAATACTAAAAACCAAACAGTCATGACATGCATTCTGCTAAATCTATGTATAAAGCATCAGTTATGACGGGGCAGGACTGGACTGGGACAAATTTCGGCCTGGGAATTTTGAGCAGAGAAAGGCCCACTTTCGGTCCATTTCACAAGGCAGGTTTAAAAAAAAAAAAAAAAAAAAAAATATATATACCGTAAATTCTCTAATGTAGGCCCGGGCCTTTATTTCACTCAAGTGCATCGCGGTCCAGGCCTTTATTGGATAGAGGCCAGTATTAGAGAAAAGCCTCTATTGCTATTTGAGCAAAACAGACTACCAGTGGAATGAATAAAAATGAGATTTTGTGTCTATTTGAACCTATAAAACACTAGGTTCATTTATTGAAAAAATACAGTTACCATGTCTCCCTTGGTTTTAAGTAAAAAAAAAAAAAAAA